GCTTCAGGTGGAGATCCAATGGGAATAAGCTAGAAAGGCACAAAGCTACTGCAAGATGGGACCACTGGGCACACATGAGACTGTCAGAGAACCTGTCTCCTGACCCGATTGCTAAGTGCAAGCCAGGGTGCTGAGGCAGGAGGTGGGGGTCTAAGGGTTCTAGTTGGGATCTGTGGAGTATGAGGACCCTGGATGGATTGGAAGGCAGGGTTCAGTGCTCCAGCAAGGAGAAGCAGCTGGTGCCAGAGAGCCTGTAGGCCCCAGGGACTAAGTTCTGTAGGAGGTGACATCAAGAGGAGGAGGGTGCATCAGTTGCTCAAAAACAAGCAAAAGAAATCAGTGCCTGTGGAACTTCACTACACTAATGCCTGTCAGCAAGCCGGCTGTTCTTAGTCTCCAGTGTTAATACACATGAGCTGCCTGCACTCACCTAGGTCTGTGCTGTCTGTCCTTTCACTGAGCATCTTACTTCACACAGACATTCTGCAAGGCGGGGCCTGGAGGCCACTCCAGGAGAGATGCTGAGCTCCTCTCTGTCAAGGCCAGCTCCCAGCCCTGGAACAAGGTAGAGCCAGGAGGGACATATGCTTGTCTTGTGCAAGGTGCTAAGGCACAGCAGGGTGTGAGGTGCAGGCCTGGGACCAGCTACATGAAGTCCACGACAGGACGGTCACAAGTCCTTCAAGGCCTGCCTGGACTACAGAGCAGGTTTTCAGGCCAACCTGGGGAACACCGTGAGACTCTGTCTCACAATAAAAAGGAAAAAGAAGGCTGTAGAGCCCTGCCTAGAATCCCCCAGTGAGGGGCTGGGGTGTGGCTCAGTGGTAGAGCCCCTGCCTAGAATCCCCCAGTGAGGGGCTGGGGCGTGGCTCAGTGGTAGAGCCCCTGTCTAGAATCCCCCAGTGAGGGGCTGGGGCGTGGCTCAGTGGTAGAGCCCCTGCCTAGAATCTCCCAGTGAGTGGCTGGGGCGTGGCTCAGTGGTAGAGCCCCTGCCTAGAATCCCCCAGTGAGGGGCTGGGGTGTGACTCAGTGGTAGAGCCCCTGCCTAGAATCTCCCTGTGAGGGGCTGGGGCGTGGCTCAGCAGTAAAGCACTTACCTAGCTTACCCAAGGCCCTGGGTACAATCTGAAAACTGCAAAGAAGAAAAGGGAAGGAAAACAAATAGGAAAGACAGGTGAAGGCAGTAAAGGGCCCAAGGAGTTCTCACACAGAAACTGTCCATATGTAACAGTGCACACAGCAAGACACGAAACAAAACTGGTCTGTTTCAGAGGGACACAGATGGGGTCTCCAGACTAAGAGACATCAGTGGACATGCTCATCCAAGGAGAACAGGCATGTAGACAACGCTGAGCCTCTGTGTTCACCCTATTCCCACGACTGTAGACAAGATTCCAAGTCTGCAGGAGGGTATGGCCACTGCCCGCAAGGAGCTGCACAGAGATCCTGGGGCAGGGGTGGGGGTCAATGTTCCAACAATACAGTCTCTGTGGACACCTGGTGAGGAGGGTGCCGGTCGTGTCGAGGCTGAGCAGGACAGGAGTGCTGCCATAGCTGGGTGAGGCAGAGTAAACGAGTTCAACATAGTGGCAAGAGGGTCTGGCTTGGTCCTTGCAGCCTCGGCACCGCACTCTGTGGGCCTCACAGACATTTCAGATCTTTAGGAAAGAACCGGGCTGAGGAGTTACAGTGGGCAGGGATTGTCTGAGATGCTCCCAGAGGACACCCCAAGTCTCTCCTCTGATGTCTGAATGCTGCTATGCCATTTCTTGCTCTGTGGTATGTTACCACTTTCCATGATCCATGCCTTCACACAGAGAGCACTGATGCCACCTTCTTAGTGTCACTCAGTTCTCAGGCAAGGGCTGGAGGCTACCAGAGACTTGTGCTGGCATGGCCTGGAGCTCAAGGATCCAGACAATGCTGGGCTTTTTTCATTCAGTATCTTAGGGCCTTGCCTGACATGGGTGTCTCGTGGTAAGTAACACCCTGACATTGTAGAAGTGTATGCATGCGGCAGGTGTGGGCACAGGAAGAGGTGAGGCTGGGCACCCTAACCGCACTGCTGCTTGTGACGCAGGCAGGAGCAGGAACGTTTGCAGGCTCAGGAAGCTTTCCACTCGCAGGAAACCCAGCAATTTTCTGCCCACTCCATTTCCAAAAAAGATATACTGATTCGAAATGTCACTGGGCAGCCGTCTGGGCTCTGTTCTGAGCAGCACTTTAGGACTGTAAGGTGGTACGGACATCAGCCTAGCCTCCCCTGACTGTGAGAGGAATGTGCCAGCTCAGAGGCCTGGCCCCGGGGTCCACTGGCACAGCCTCACTGTGGAGGGAGGAGCTCTGCTCCGTCATGAGGCAATACTGTGGGACGAGGGGCCCGGGCTTAGATTCCAGAGATGAATTCGCTTAATTACATGCATGCTCGAGTGCTTAGAGGAAGTGTACAGATGTCTGCAATTTAGTTTCAAATGCATCAAAAGAATAAAACGGACTAATGGATGGCAGAGGGATGGATAGGAATGTCACACAGCCACAAGTGTGCCGTTCCCAGCAGGATGTAGGTGGTGGGTAAGTGGGCATTCACTGTAAAATTCTTTCAATTTCTCTATCTTGAAAACGATTGCAGTAGAACCCTGGGGAAAAGCAGTAGGGCCCGCTCCCATGGAGGCCTGCCTAAAATGTGGGACCACGAGGCATCAACAAGTCTCGGGGCTGGCTTAGCACTCCACGTTTCACATGAAGGACCCTCACTTGTCACCATGCAGGGATATGTCCTGGCCTGGACAGGCTCCCCTGCCCCTCAGGGTGGGCAGAGCCCCTGACAGGCCTCTCCTTGGTGACCCTACACATATCCTGACATAGCTCATCAGAAGCACTTCTGTGGAGGCTTTTCTGGGAGGCTGTGAGGAGCACGGGCCTCTGTACACAGCTGTCCTGCTCTTACGAAATACACAACGTATCTAAGGACAGAGACTGACAACCCCTGTGTCTGCCTCTGTGCCAGCCCGAGTCTCCCCACCTCTAAGTCAGGCCTTCCTGCCCCCACACTTTCATACAGAGTCTCACTACATAGTCCAGGCTCTGCAACTCAGAACAACTGCTACAATGCTGAAACTCAAGGCCTGCACACTGTGGCTAACTTCCCAGAAGCTTTGCCAGGACTGTCTGTGAGTCCTAAGTTTGCTGTCCACCCGGCCAATTGGCATGTGAGCCCATCAGGCAAGCAGACCCTAGTACTTTTTCTACTCCCTAGCTACACTAGCAATGCACACAGGTCACTCTGGTCAGTGTGCAAACAGCCAACGACCCAGGAGGGGATGGCATCAATTTGGCAAGTTTGCATGCAGCACTGTGATGACCCATCCACTGAGCCCCCAAGCACGCCCACACGCCCAGCTCTAAGTGGTCACCGGAGTTTTGCTTCCTCACCAACCAGCTGTGAACTAATTACAAAAAATCCTAACTAGTTGCGCTCCCTCTCCGAGCATATGTTCCCAATTAAGATGAACCGCAGCTGATTTTAATCAATCTTCCTTGAAGCGCCAACTTGAAGCCACTCTTCTTCTCTAGAGGGAAGAGTGAGGCGGAGAGTGGGAGCGCAGGAGGCTGCCTGCATACTGAGCACATGAGTAAGGCTTGAGGACGCCCAAAGGCTAGACTGCCAGGTTCTAGGTCCAAGCAGTCCCATTAGAGTTGCAGAGGAGGCTGGGTCTCAAAAGGGCTGGCATCAAATGCTATGGCCAGGCCATAAGAAGCCCCAGGATGGATGTTTCTTCCCCAGTACCAGAGGGGCCCAGGTTCAAGACCAACATATAATGGGACCCAGGGCTTTGACCTTGATGAAAAACGAATGACAGAGCATCTAACAAGGGCTTGCAGGCAGCTGAGGGATAGTGGGGGATGGGAGAGAAAGGACCTAGAACAGAATTCCCTCAATCCTATCACCTAGCCTTATGAAGAAAGAGCAGCAGCTCAGATAGGAAATAAACAGGCCTAAGGCCTCCCAAAGTGTGCTCCACATGGCTGCCCGGAACAGGGTGGAAGTAAGTGTGCTCCACACAGCTGCCCGGAACAGGGTGGAAGTAAGTGTGCTCCACACAGCTGCCCGGAACAGGGTGGAAGTAAGTGTGCTCCACACAGCTGCCTGGAACAGGGTGGAAGTGTGCGCCACACGGCTGCCCGGAGCAGGGTGGACATGGTCCATTAGCACTCTAGCCCTCAGGAAGGGCTGAACAGGGCCAGCAACTTGTGCTCCAGGAAGGAGATCTTGTGAATCCCATTCTGTGTCACCCACACGGGGCACAGAACACTGGCACCTCCTTTAGTTGTGTTGTCCCTGAAGTCCCTACAAGCTGCACTGAAATCCATTTATCACCCTATCCTGACACAGTTCTTCAGCCAGGTAGCCTTGATTCACCCTCCAGCAGCCCTCGGCCCAGGACAGTGGCCCAATTATTACAGAACAGGATGACAGGTCCCAGGGCTGGGCATGACTACAGCCAAGGTTCAGAAGACCTCACTTCATCAACGCTGTCACCTCTCCCATCACCAAGATTGGTAACAGGAACGCGATTTGATTGCCTCTAATAGGTGCCAAGGTAAAAATCAATGGCCTGTCTAGAAGCCGGGCAATCTCTAACCTGTGGGCTTCTTGCCATGAGCAGTGTGGTCAGGAGGAGGAAAACGAAAAAGAAAAAAACAAACAGTCCAATGCAGACAGCAGAGAAGGTCATGGCCACAGGGAAATGACAGGAACAGGGGACAGCACCAGAGAGAAGAGAGGCCGAGGTCAGTGCTGAGAAGCACAGGAACCAACGGCAGGAAGCAGTTCCCTGCACAGTGAGCCAGAGTGGCACAGACCTGTGGCCCTGCAGAACCCAGCAGTAGCTCTCAGCCAGGTAAGGGTGGATGCATAGGAGGAAGTCTGGGTTTCATTCACAGGAGCTGGAAGGAGTACCACCTGTACAGGGAACATCTCTCTGGCCACCCAAACCTACCTGTAGGGTTAGTCTCTCCATCTGCATCTCCAGCGCCTGTTTTTCCTGTTCCAGACGGCTCCGCTCACCCTCCAACTCCTCCACCTTCAACCTGGAAGGAGACCATGACATAACCAGGTGCCACTATAGCCCAACACAGATGGTCATGGCCATGTGGGGTGGGTTCCAGGGTGGGGGTTCGGCAGTGGGTAGCACTTGTTCAGGTGCAAAGAAGGACTCAAGCCAGGGGGTCTTCGCTGACCCTGAAGCTTGGTTAGAAGCAGGCAAGGAATTTGTGTCTCAGCCCCCCCCCCCCATCCACCCCGGAGGGTGACCACAGGCTAGAAGGAAAACTGCAAATGGAAGAACAATCTCAGGCGTCTTTAGAGCTGCCACCCTTTAATACACCTCCTCATGCTGTGCTGATTCCAGACCATAAAATGGAGCAGGTCCTAAAATCTGTGTAGTCCAGGAGCCTGAAACAGAGTAGTCAGCCAGCTACAAGGGGCTAAAAGGAAAGGAAGTGCCCAGAGAGCACTTCAGGACTAAGGCAGAAACCAAAACCAGCCAAGAGCAAAGCTCCGGCCACCAGGAAGTTTAACAACACATACTAAATACACTGCTCAACGAAAGTAAAGGAAGTCAGCAAGCACTGAACTGGACACAGTGTAGCCAAGAAAGGCAGGCTCAGAGACAAGATGTATAGCATCTAGTGTTTTTATCTCCACTCAGGAGCTCAGGCTTCCACTTCAAGAACAGAGAGGAGGCCGAGTGTGCTGGGTGATCCAGCCGCCCTGAAACGGAGGCCGAGGGGCCGGAGCTCAAGGGCAGTTTTCTGAGCTAGCATCTCACTGTGTAGCCTTGGCTGGCTTGAAATAGGACACAGAACACTCCAGAACAGGCCTAATGCATGGCCACAAAACAAGTCTTAGTACATTCATTTAGGAGAATGCCTGCCATAAAGGAAGCTGGAGATCAACGGCAGAGGGGCAGCAAGAGGTAACTCAACAGTCCTGTTCGGGAGACGGCTTTGTGGGTAAGTGACTGCTTTGAAAGCATGAGGATTTGAGTTCTATTCCGTAGTGAGAACTGTGGAATTTTAGTTTCTTAAAAAAAAAAAATCAAAACATTAGAAGACTATGTTTTCATTTTAATCCCAGGTGTGGGTTGTGGGGCTGCTTCAGATCATCCACATTAGCTGACTGAGATTTGTCTCAGGCTCTGGCAGGGGCATGATTTTGCCAGGTGCAGATAGATTCTCTGATTGTGTGACATTTGGAATTCTGGGGACTTCTCAGAGGGTATATAAATGCTGAGGTCCCGAGGTGTGGTGTGGGCTGTTGGTTGGTTGTTGGTTATGCACTGTTAAGAGGTCATGTGCAAAGAAGAAACAACAACAACAAGAAATTGGGTGTCCTGATAGAGAAGATCAAAGCTGCTCCAAGGAACCCACTGTTCCTAGTCAGCAGGAAGTAGTCTAATGCTAACACCGCCCACTTTCCAACCACTGACTTCATTTAGGGATCCCTTTCCTTCCCTATCCTCCCTCTCCCCTCCCCCTCCCCTCTCCCTCCCCCTCCCTTTCCCTCTCTCTCTCTCCTAGTGTTAAGGGGTTGAAAAGGTAGAGAAGAAAAGGTGGTGGAAAATGGTGGGGGAAAAAACCCTACTAAGTAGCAAACTCCGGCTTCATTACTGCCCCAGCACCCACATGGAAAGCCAGACACGCCGATGCACACTTGTGATCCCAGTGCTGGGGAGCCTGAGACTAGAGCACTGGTTCTCAACCTGTGGGTCTCAAACCCTTTGGGAGGGGTGTCAACTCTTTCACAGGGTCGCCTAAGACCATTAGAAAACACAGATGTTTACATTAGGAATTACAATGGTAGTAAAATTACTGTTATAAAGTAGCAACAAAAATGGTTTTATGGTTGGGGATCACCATAACAGGAACCAGGAAAGGAGAGCAGCTGAGCTGACAGCTGACAGCAGGCTGGAGACAAGAAGGACTGGGCTGTATGAAAGACGGCAGAGACACTCCCAAGGAAAAGCAGCCAGAAAGACAAGCTCACCATGAACCTGGGAAATGTGAGAGGGTACCCAGCACACAGGTCACAAAAGGATGAGAGGAACAACTGGGCACACATCCAAGTAGCCAAGATGACACAGGCAGATGCCTACTGATGCTACCTTCCAAGGTGACCCCCAAAGAAGCAGATAAATCTGCGATCAATGTGAGGGTCAAATGAAAAGTCAGAGTCTCCCAAACAAGGGACGAAGGCCAGGCCAGTGACCACAAGCAAACATTCAAAGGTCTTCCCTAACTTTGCAGAAAAAGGGAGGAGGAAGCCCTCTCTGAAACCAGTAGCAGGCAGACACTGAATAGAGGCAAAGACACTTCCAGAAAACTAAGGTCAAGCTGAGTCTGGTGGCATAGGCCCGCCAACCCAGCTGTGTGGAGACTGAGACAGCAGGATCAAGAGTTAAAGGCTTTCCTGGGCCACATGTGGGTTCAAGGACCAGTGTGTGGGATCCTGTCCCAAACTGTGAAAAGCAGTCACGGCAAAGGGCCTGGGAAGGTTCTCTGCAGCGCGCTTGCCTAACATACATGAAGTCGTGGTTCAGACTGCAAGATTGCAAACCGAAAATTAAAATGAAATATATGAAATAAAAACTAAATCTATTTTTAAAAGAAATAACTAGAACTGAGACAGTAAATCTGGGGGACAAGCCTAACCATGTAAACATGGGGGACAGCTGTGGACCCGCTTAGTCACATACCAGCTGTTCCCTGAAAGCTTTCCGTGAGGTGGCAAGGGGGTTGGAAACAGCAGGAAGCCAAGACATCGCATCACCTAAACATGTGCTATGGGACCCTCTAACGAGCCAAGGACAAGAAGTCCTCCTCTGCTTTCCTCTCAGTTGACATAGGAAAATCCCTTCACCAAACCTTGAGCACAGAGGGCAGCAGCCTCAATAGGACATGTCATTCCTGAAACAAAAACAAACAAACAAAACCAACCAAACAACAACAAAAAAAACCAGGGATGTTAAAAAAAAATTTTTTTAAGGCTAGAGAGATGGCTCATGGTTAAGAGCACCAGTTGCTCTTCTTGGGGACCTGGGTTCAATTCCCAGCACCCACATAGCAGCTCACAACTGATGTAACTCCAGTTTCAGGGGATCTGACCCCCTAACACAGACACATGAAACACCAATGCACATACACAGAAAACAGAAAGTGGGGGAAGACAGCTGCAAGCTTTTCTCAGGACAAGGCCTGTGAGGTGGCTCAGTGAATTAAGGTATGACCACCAAGCCTGATGACTTGAGCTCCAGCACATGATGGAAGGAGAGAACACACTCCTGAGTGTCATCCTCCGGCCTCCACAGTTACACCAGGGTGTCTGCGACAGACCGACAGACAGACAGACAGACAGACACACACACAAATCAATCTAATTAATTTTTTTAAAAATTGAGAAAATGCCTCTCTCACTGTGTTCATCTGACTAACCTGCTATAGCAATTAGCCAAGACAATGAAATCAAAGCTTCCAAACTGTATAAGCAGCCGACTGCTCCTCTTCACAGACGCCCTCCCTGTTGACGTAGAAACGCAGCAAAGTAGCACCGTAAACGTCACCATGTGAGAGCTCTGCTACGCACTTCATCCGTTACAGCATCAGAGAGAAGAAAATGCTTGGAGACGCACTTACACAAGGGAGACTGAGACGACGATCCCCTACGACGTGCAGAGCATTGCCAAAAAATAATAAACTTTAAAAGGGGAAGAAAAAGAAAAAGAAAACCCATGTGCATGTGGACACCTGGCGCTGGAGCAATCAATGGCTCGGCAGTCACAAACACTTGTGGCTCTGGCAGAAGAACCACCATCCACATAGGTTGGCTAGCTCTAGCTCCAGCGGATCTGGTGCCCTCTTCTGGGTTTCACAGGTGCCTGCATTCACAGGCACACACCCGTGCAAACACACACACATTTACACATAATTACAAAATAAGAAAAAGTCATCTTTCTGAACATGTGGCCGCTTGTGCTCAGGGGCAGGTGAGCTTATGCTGAGGCTATCTGGGGTGAAGCAGAAGAAACAGAAGAGTCTCCTGCCTCTGGACTCAGCCATGGGGTCAAACAGTCCTTTAAAGAAATGCCGTGCTGAGTGAAGATGTCAGCGCTGAGTCACAGGCACACAGTCCACCCAAGTGGGCATGCTGGCCCAGAGCTGATGGAGCCGTTTAGTTAAATGGCCCCATCCACTACCTGTGCAGCACACAGAGGTAAAGTGCTGACCTCAGGGCACGAGAACCTGAGTGTGACCCCCAGGAGCCATGTTTACAAAGGCTGAGTGGAAACAGGCAGATCCTGGGACTCTCTGGCCCACATACTAACCTGCTTGGTGAGTTCCAGGCCAGGACTCAAAACGCCAAGACAAGTAAGTAGCTTCTGAGGAGTGTTAACCGAGCTTCCTGTCCTGCGGCCTGGGACACAGACACGCACACCTGCCCGTGTGCCTACAGGCCCACATACACAAGCTCACTAGCATATACAGGAGCACGCTCATGGAGGTGGGAGCAGGCACTGGGACAGAAGATTGCAGAAGGCCCAGGGACACAGGGAAGCTCACACTCAATATGAAGACAGTTAGCTGACAGTGGGAACAGCCTGCTTCTCTTTGTTTTTCTTTAGTTTCTTCTTTTTTTGGTTTGTATGTGTGTTTCACTAACAAAACAACAACAACAAAACCATATGAGCTCGGCATGGTAGTACACGCCTCATGCCTTTAATTCTGGCATACAGGAGGCTGAGGTAAGAGAACAAGGGGTCAAGGCTAGCCTAAGCTATATAGCAAACTTTACCTTAGAAAAGCAACAGCAACAATAACAAGAGCCCACATACAGACAGGCACAGGGACTGATAAAGACGGCCATGCAAGCACGGCACTTAGGAGCAGTCTCTCACAACACCACTGCAGCTGAGAATAAAGGCAGTCTCCTTTCTCTGAAGCCTGACCACAGAAAATAAAAGGGACAGCATCAAAAACTCCCTTAGAAGTTGGAAGCAGAAGGATGGAGTGGGGGCAGGGCGGGGGGTGACCTC